GGTCAAATCCTGCCTCCGCCCCTGGCTCAAACACGTTTTGTGTTGCGATCTCAAGCGATTTAGTAGAATATATATGTATTTACAGCTCCAACTCTATAAAAAATTGAGATTTTCACTTATTTACAATTTATTATAGCTAAAAATGAAATAATAAAAATAAAATCATAATTAATTCAAGTAAATTTATAGGTAATTTGGGGGGAACGAATCTAGAATGAGACAAATTATGGAAGGTTGGTCAAGGAGATTACCCATGCACGCCCCGTCTCACCTACGAATGGATATTATTCGTCCAAAAGCAGACCAATAAGATCGAGTAAAATGTGTCAGTTCGAATTTGTCAGCCTGCCTCCAAAATAAGAATGCATATCCTTTTCCTTTATGTAACAAAAGAAACTAAAACATAATTATATTAAATAATGAAAATGATGATGTTCTTCGTTTAGGAGGATAATCAAGTTTAGAAGAGGAATATAATACCAAATTAGTACTCAGCCTATAAGGCTATAATGCTGCCCACTACTTAATGTATGGACCACCCCTTACCCGTGCGGTTTTCGTCGAAAATCGCGCCTCTACCCTGCGATTTTCGAGAAATGATGTTATTTTTGAATTTTTTCGGGGCTGAGAATATTTATAGATTTTTTTTTAAACAGAGCTATTTTTGGAAAAAGTCCCCAACCTAGTACATGCCCCCTTTTGTCTGTCTCTTCTCCTAACCAGAGACCGATTTCCACCATTGATTTTCATTTAAATTTAAATCACACCAACAAAGCAACAACCAATCATAAATGAGGAAGGAGAAGGGAAAAATAAAAATAAAAAGGGGTCTGCCTGGCACAAGAGCGTTGGTCGGGGCGCATGCACGTTTGGGGAAATAAGACATTTATTGCTCTGATAAGGTTGTCGGATCCACATCGGGTATAAATAGGGAGTAGGTAAGACTAAGAGCATTTAAGCAAGTTGGATTCTCTCTCTCTAAAACTTGGAATACCACTTATCTCTCTAGAGCATATCTTAACTTGACCTTAGTAAAACTAACAGACCTAGAAAGGTCCGCGTGTGCGCATGTGCATGTAAAACAAGAAAACAACATGAAGTTCTATGATCAAAACTCTAATAAGGTTATTATCATAAAGTAGTGACAAATAAATGAATTCATCCGACCAATGGGCCGGGCAAAAGCTAGTTATTTAAAAGAATTCAAACCTGAGAATTTTAGGTTGAAAATCAATAATGCTATCACTAAATTAAACTTTTGTTCGTATATATAATTTTCATGGTAATTAAATAAAGTTCTCTTGAATTTTTTTAAAATGGTAGCGACATTTTGATTATACCCCAGTGAGGTGGGTGACTTGAAACTAAAGAACATACTACCAAAGGACAAACTTATTATTCCATAATACATACAGATGTAGAAAGCGAATTAAAATACTGATTGGGATAATTTTAAATAAGCAGTCTATTAAAATAAGATTCCCACTAGTGTTTATTCTTCTCAGTATTCATTAATCAAAATCCCAAATGCAAGATAAACTAACAAATACAATGGAAATAATCATCATTTAACGGATCCAAATCATTGTGTCTTTTTTTAATCTAATAATAAATTTCAAATTCAATTGAGTTGTTAACCTTGAATTAGTGGCTGAAAATGAGGCCTCCACAACTAATCCCTAATTCATCCACATCAGCCAAAACACTAACGCTCTGTTTGGCAACAAGGGGGTGCAAATTGCAGGAGGGTGCAAGTTGAGGGGCAAATTGCTGGGGGGTGCAAATTGCTGGGGGGTGTAAGTGGAGGGGTAAATTGTTGTTTGGATGAAAAAGTAGGGGGTGCAAATAAAGTGCAAAGTAAGTAATTATATTATTTTAAAATAGATTTTAAAATTATAAAATAGATTTTAAAATTATAAATATTATCATAAAATAATAAAATAAATATTACTATATAATAATAAATATACTTTACTAAAAATAGTTAATATATAATAATGCTCAAATAATAATTAATTATAACAATTGTAATAATCATTGATCGAGCGATCTCTAAACTCGAAGCTCAACTCCTAACTGGTCATCCTATATAGGGTTTTCGTGTCTAGTTTAATCTTAAATTGTCAAACTTAGTCAAACACGTTCGAATTTGTAAGTTTTAACTATTTAGTCAAATAAAATGAGTTAACCAAACAATTTCTCTCTATCTTTTCCACAAACACCTTGTATATCTAATTTTCAATGCAAATTCGATTCAACCAAGAGATCTAGATTTGACTTGACGAACATTTATAAACTTGTTTCCAGAGTCAAATGGTCAACCCCGAATAATGTTTACATTAATGATATTTATAAAAAGAAGAAATTGATAATATTAATATTATATAATTATATATAACACAATTAGAAAAACAAAATTCCATAATTCCCCCCTCCCCCTCTCTTCCTTCCTTCCTTTGCACCCCAATTCGGGGGGTAAGCCGAAACAGTAAATTTGCACTCTCGTTTTGCACCCCCTTACTGTTCCAAATTAACCAAACAGGAGCAAATGTGTTGGAAACTGTGTTTACCCCTCACATTTGCACCCTCCTCCCATTTACCCCTCTTCCCAAACAGAGTGTAAACAACTCATTTGGTCGGTTAAGCAGAAAGCTCAAACTAAATAATTTAAAACGAACCCGACTCCAAAATTTCTCCGCTCTAGGATTGGCCGGTTTTGTCACATCAGCCGTACACGTGGCGCCCCGGGAATAAATTGGAGGCCCGCCTAATAGACAACGACAGCTCATTTTGCCGGTAAAAGACAACCCGTCCATAATAATTCAAAGAGAAAACCCGGGAGAATTGAACCAGGTCGTCCCGCTTCCCACGCGTATATAAACAGCTCACTAAACCAAAGCTCCATACTCGAAAGCAATACTAAGAAGTAAGAACATTCGAGCTTTGAGAGTAAACTCCAAAGTCAACCAACAACAAGAAGAATGCCGATCTCTAGAATCGCCTTTGGATCTCTGGCGGAAGCCGGCCAGCCCGATGCGCTCAAGGCCGGCCTGGCCGAGTTCATCTCCATGCTCATTTTCGTGTTCGCCGGAGAAGGCTCCGGCATGGCTTTTGGTAAGTTTCTTGCTCACGTATTATAAGATCTATTATTGAACAGTTTTTAATTACTTGAGGTATTGTGATCAATTGGCTCATAACATAATTACTTGAGAATCATGTTAATATATGGGGTAAGATACATTATGTTAAATTTCGAGTTGTCTCGTTATTGAAACCAACTAATTTATTGTACTAAAGTATCAATTCATTCATAAGGACTTTTTACTAATTATAATCGTGATTAACCAGGCAAGCTCACCGGCGGCGGCCCTGCCTCACCGGCCGGCTTGATAGCCGCGGCCATCGCACACGCATTCGCACTGTTCGTCGCCGTCTCCGTCGGCGCCAACATTTCCGGCGGACACGTCAACCCCGCCGTCACCTTCGGCGCATTCGTCGGCGGACACATCACGTTCGTCCGAAGCATCGTCTACTGGATCGCCCAGCTGCTCGGCTCCGTCGCCGCTTGCTTGCTCCTCAAGTTCTCCACCGGCGGACTGGTATAGGGAAAATTCGAATTCGAATTTTTTTTTCATTGGTTAACATTTTTTCATAACAATTAGACAAATCCTAACTAGATAAATCTATAATTCATAAATTAAAAAATTTGTGCGAATATAGATTCAAAACGGACAATATCTTAATCGATGTTACATTTTTTTTATATGTAATATGTATGGTGGCAGGAAACATCGGCTTTCGCTCTATCCGCGGGAGTGGGCGAGTGGAACGCTGTCGTTTTCGAGATCGTGATGACGTTCGGGCTGGTGTACACGGTCTACGCCACGGCCGTGGACCCGAAGAAGGGAGACCTGGGGACGATCGCGCCCATCGCCATTGGTTTCATCGTGGGTGCCAACATCCTGGCCGGAGGAGCCTTCGACGGTGCGTCGATGAACCCGGCGGTGTCGTTTGGGCCTGCCGTCGTGAGCTGGACCTGGAGCAGCCACTGGGTGTACTGGCTCGGCCCATTCGCTGGCGCCGGGATCGCCGCGCTGGTGTACGAGATTTTCTTCATGGCCCCGTCCACACATGAACAGCTCCCCGTCCATGATTACTGATTTTGAGTGAATTGTTTGTGGGTGTAATTGTTGTCGGGTTCGGAATTGATTATCTGCTGCTGGCTTTTGTTCCGAGTGTTTGAATATATTCCTCCGTAAGTGTTGTTGTTCTTTTCCTTCAATCATTTGCTCTCAAGTATGAAGTTATATAGTTGAAAAAGTCGCGCTTAATGTTAGGTGTTAGGTATGAGAAAACGCCTAGCCTAGAGGTTACGCAGCCCGTTAAGGATCAACAATACGTCGGCAGAGTACGATGATACCTTAGATGACGCCTAAGTATAATTAATTAAACGGAGGTAAGCAGTCAATTATATAAAAAATGAAAAAAATTAATATCATTCATAATACATTTTCTCTCAATCTTTTCAATAGCTCGAGAACTTTGTAAGCTATTGAACTATGATTCTACGAAATTGCAAGTTACTTTTTCGTATATATAATTAAGTATTAAGTAAGTTATTAATCTTTTGAACTCAAGTAGAAGCGTTGTAAACCAGCTATATATTTCGTTCATTTTTTGATACTAACTCTTTTTTTCTTCTTCTTCCAACGTCTAGACGATCTAGCTAGCCACTAGGCAAGACACATTCTTTAATTGAATAATAATCAACTACACAGCCTTGTTTTTCTAATTAAAAACGGGGTTTAGGTGAAGGGAAATGATCACTGTTACATCATATTACTCAACTAAACAATATTCTCTCTTGAGTGACAAGTTCATACACAGAGATGTGAAGGACTTTGAATGTGTGTGGCTTTATGAGCTCGACTAGTTTCTCTTCTTGATGTTCTGTTTCCCAAGCTTGACCTTCGTTGTCAATAAGCTTGACCTTTCCTTAGCTAGATTAGTTTTTTCTTCTCGGTGATGTTCTGGTTCCCCAGCTTTGATCTTCGTTGTTTCAGCATATAGAGGTAGAGATTGAGCCAGAGGAAGGGGTAGCTTAGGATTACAACCTGACCATAGAAACACAAATTAATTAAGAGATGGAACATGAACAAATTCGATAATTGATCAATCGCTTTAAATAACAATCATCTTTGTGGCACAAATTTGCTCCAACCTAATCTGCCAGATTGGATTAAGATCATGATGATGATTTAGATGCCAAACTTACCCACAGAAAGTTGTAATAACTGAAGGGAAGAGCAGCAAAGAAGTTTGCATAGAGATGATTCATCTTGACAAATGGAAGCGACTGCCACATGAGCGACACTGCACCAAAGTGAAAGAAAACAAATGGATTCGTTCGAGTTATTGGGACCAAACTGATTACCATAGCGTAGTAGAAATAACGATAAGTAGGGTGGTCGATCATATCGCTTACATTCGCCAAGAAATCCAATAGGGTACAAGACGATGAACGCAGTATACCTAACCAAGAGCCGAGTGAGGTCAGTCAATAATTAGTCAGGCCAAGTGCTATGAGATGTCAAAAAAGAGTCCAAGGATGGAGAATCTGGCTGCAGAGGAGGAACGCCTTACCTGATGTAAACAACCCATGATGGACAACTGCCTATGATGTTCAGAGCATAATGTGGATACCTGATAGCCTGAGTCCAAGATCATGCGCACACAAAATGTCTAGTGAGATAGATTGGATTTATTACCGACAAAAGGGTTTGGTCTAATAGTACTACCACTGTTATTCGACCTGATTCAGTTACTAGTTCAAATCTTTTAAGTAGCACCTAATGCGTTCAACGGAATTTGGAATACTCACATCAATCATGCTCCAGGCCGTGAAGGTTACGAAAACTGCTGGTAGCTCCTGAACCTGGTACAAAAGCACATGAAACCAAGTAATGGGAGCACCATTCAAATCAGAATCAATACCAGCTAGCTGAATTGTAATCCCAAGAGAAGACAAGCATGCAGAATTAGATAGGAATAATCAAAATGCAGATCGACCTCAACGATTCTGCGGACGACTGCCAGAAGGAAGTGGGTTCTGCCTCCCCATTGCATAAACGGGTACACAATGCCGCTCGGGACAAGACCTGATATTTTCGTCAATATAGTCAAAATCGTGCTATAAAATTTAAAAATTTATATTTTAAACTTTTAGATCACCAACATCATTATAAAGAGAAAATGAAACAAAATTAAAAAGGTTGAAAGGCTCACCTAATGCTCCGTGGACAACTTCCAAGAACGCAATGCTTTGCAGTAAGCCTTACAAAAGGGAGGATTTACAGGGAGTACGTTAAATGCACATTTGAGCAAGCGATTTATAAAAACAAATCCAATTAGTACCATGAGTGTATGGATTTTCGAACACACACATCGGAATATTATCGGAATTTCTTCTACAAATATATATCTATATAAAGACTAACAACAATCATGAAATTATTCATACTGTATCAGGTTTATATTATTATAAAGACTAACGACATCTATAAATTATCAATATTTTTCACGTCATATACAAAATAACGTCGTTTTGGTGTTTTGGTGCGGGTTGGATGGAAATCGAGTTGAATTTTGACAGAAGCTAAACTTATTCCAATCTCGCGACCCAAAATCCATCAACAATAAATTTTACCCGCTTTTGACCAGGGTGGATCGAATCGGATACCCATGTGTCCGGGTTAAATTGCCATCCCAAACTTAAAAGCTAGAAAGAAGAAACGTTTTAATTAAGGGGAAGGAACGGTACTGACAGATGAGATGTCCGGCGGAAGCATAAGCTCCGGCGACGGATCCAGTAGCTGCGAAATTGCTCAGGATTCTGAAGAGTGCGATTGCCCTGTTCGTTATCAACATATGGAAATCAAACGACAGAACCGATGGAGGTGATTCTGAAATCTCCGAGTTCAGGCGGGAAAAAAGGGCGGGGGGGAAATTAAATTACCATCCCACTGCCTGGACTGAATTGTAAGCGAGGAGGTAGAGAGAAGCTAAGCTGCGTTGCTCACTTCTTGTCTCCGACACAGCAGCCGGCGACTTTCCGAAAGAAAGATCTGTGAGTGGATCAATGGACCTCTGCTGTGGAGTTGGAGCTGCTGCATCCATTGGGTTGGATGGAGTGGATGTTGATGAACCATTATTGGGGAAAGTTGCACCATCTGCCGAAAGTCAATGCAGAACGCGCAACCAATTCGTAACAACATACGTACACATTAATGTAATTGCAAAATCAATTGAATATATATATGTCACGTCAATATTTTGACACTTCAACTTATATTAATACCATGGCACATACATCAATGTAATCTAAATGCAATTGCATATCTAGTTAAATGTTGTTTTTAAATTATGAAAAATAAAGTAAAATGAAAAAAGATAAATAAGAATCCCATTTTTTAGGTCGGTTTGGTTCTCATATGCACTTGGCAAGCTTGTAAATATGCAATGGGTAGTCACGTCAAGGCAATTGTTTTTTCAATTGAAAAAAACCCTATGTCATATGCCATTTTTGCAATTGGAAATGCAATTCCAGTGTGGATGCTCTCACAACGCACGCAGATTCACTTATATCCACACAAATTTTTATGTACAAAAACTACATTTTCGAGCAATGATGTCAATTATTTACGCAGATTCACATACATTCACACACAATTTACCTTTTCACATACTATCATTGATCTCATTCTAACTTTAATAATATTTTTATGCACTTTTAGATATTACGTGAAAAAATAGGCAATGTGCATGAATATAAGTGGTTGTTAGCTAGTTTGTTGAATTTGCATTATGGATTTGATATTCAAATTTCAACGTTGATGGAATTTCCCCAAACCTTTTGTTCGATTATGAGTGTTAAATTCACGGAGACCATGAATTTGGTCTATTTTTAATCCAATCCATGGGATCATGTTGCAATTTGGTTAAAGGGCTTAAAAATCCTTGATGTCAATTGATATCCGTAACAAATTCATCATAAAAATATCATCAAATCTAGCATGCAAACAATAGACTATTCATATCCATAATGCAATAAATTTATTATAAATCCAATATACGATTTATTTTTTTTATGTACTATCATTCATCTCATCTATCTTCAATTTATTTTCTTACTAAAATTTATACACCGCGTGAAAAAATAGGTATAAGGTATGTGTGTGAATATAATCAGTCGTTTGCTTTTTAAAATTTGGGTTGTGGATTTGGTATCCAAATCCCCATATTGATGAATTTAGTCCAAATATCTTGTTTGCATATTAGTGTTGAGTTCGTGCGGCACATGAATTTGATGTTTTTAATATTCTAAATGCGTGGACCCTGTAAATCTCACCGATTATGTTGCAATTTGGTTAAAGAACATAAAAATTTCCTTGATGTCTTTGTAACAAATCCTTCATAAAAATATCATCAAATATAGCATGCAAACAATCGACTCTTTAAATTAGTAATACAATAAATTCATCATAAATCTAAAAAATTTGTCACCCAAAATTCTAAGTGAAAAAATGAAAACTTTATTTTCCCACTCTGATAGAAGACTTTTTCCACATAGTAAAAAGGTTAAAAAAAAAAACACACACATTGCTGATAATATTCCCTCCCAGCAAAAACATTAATAAAACTTGGAATCGCAAATAATCACAAGATGAAACGGCGGCCAAAAACATAGTCACAATTAGATCATCAAACGCAATAGCTCTTATGTGGCAGAGTACGAATCAAAGGGAAATACTCACCATTAGACTTGGAAGCTGGATATGAATCTGCAGACGACTTCCCGCACGACAATCCAGACAGATTCCTCCTCTTCGCCGGCGAGAAAACAAGCCACCTGCTTAAGCCACGACTCTGGATAGAAGAAACTGCACCGGTCCTTTCAGCTAGTAGATGGGCGGCGTTTGAAACTGTAGGCACCGAACCTGCTGAGAGTGAACCGTGCATAGAACAAAACATCTTAAGAACGAAACTGCCATATTTAGTCAAAAGCGCATTTCTACATATAAATATTTTGGTAATCTAAAAGCATAAAACCGTAAGTTTTTAAGTTTTAAATCGTAGTTTTTAACTATAATAGATATAAAAACGACGATTATGCGTAGAAGCCATTTGGTACACCTAGAAGCATAAAGCATAAGTTTTTAAACTTTAAAACGCGATTTTGACTATATTATTATAAAGAAACATAAGCAAAGAAGACGAAATGGGAGAGCGACATAGTCGCAGAAAGCTTCACAGAGAGAGAGAGTTACAGTGGAAAGAGCGGAGAAAGAGGGACGCCATGAGAGAAGGATTTGAATCGGAGGTGGAAATGATGAGAAAGCATATTTAGAGGCGGATCGAAGCAACTGGAGTTTATTAGCGTTGGAGGAGTGATCGTGAAGAGATGTAATCTGTGAGAATTAGTTGTCTTTGCCGCGATTTCCGGCGGGAGCAAATATTATATAGACTAATCCTTTCATCATCATCATAATCAGCATTCTCCATTTCCCGGGCAGCTCCCTGGATTTCTATGATGTTCACTCCACGTCGTTTGAATTCGCAAGCATATTGGGGTTGCTAGTTTGTGCTCGTTTAGGGGGTTTTTCAATAATAGCACCTTTACAAAAAAAATTACAAAACTAGCACCCAGTCGAAAAAAATTACACTACTAGCACCATTTTTAATAGACCGCACCTTTAAGGTGCGGTCCAATCCACGTCAGCATACACACCGCTCCTTCCGAGAGCGGTTCATGTTTTCCGGGCAGCGGGGTCGGAGACCGTCGGATGGGGCTGCGATCCAAGGGCAGACCGCTTGCCAGGTCAGCGATCCTGGCCACGGATCGTAGACCGCCGCGCCGAGGTGCGGTCAAGCCTGGGGAAGCACAAACCGCCTCGGCAAGGCGCGGTTTCTCTTTGGGCAAAATTACCCGACCGCCCCTGGAGGGTGCGGTCTGTTGGGTATAAATACCCCCCTTCCCCTCTCATTTCTTCACACCACAATCCATTCTTCTTTCTCTCTCTAGAATTTATCTCTCTAAACCCTCCCCTCCCAAAAGCCTAGGAGATAGTGGTCTGTTGGTTGCGGCTAAGTCCGATCTGCCATCAGAAAATATTTCTTAGGTTTTTTCCTCAAAACCCGCCGAGCCAAGCCGAATCTCTGTCCGAATTTGCTGAAAAATGGCCGATTGGTGGCAAGGAGAGGGAGTTTATATTGATGAATTTCAAGCGGTACGTACTCATTATTCTGGTTTAATTTTTGTTGTTGTTATAAGCTTTTTAATTAATCTATGTACTAACCTCGTTGTTATTTTCTCGTAGGTTGGGGAGGACGTGAATATATACAACCAACGGTATTATCTCGAGCAAGGACCGTTGGATCCAACCGACTTGTACGACCAACCCAACCATCGGTCAAGGGATGTTTGGAACGATCACCCGGTACATACAATTCTTCACCATTTGTCCTTCTTTTATTTTGTTAATGTATTTAGTGGAATATAAAATAAATTTATGTTGATTTTTTAATCGTGTTGGTTGTTTTCAATAATTTAATCGATACATAGCGCCACTTACTTCGACTCTTTATAAAGAGATGCACGTCTAAGGAAATGGGGTTTTAAGCGATTATCATATCCTCCCATTCCCTGGGAAAATCGGGTATTAAGAGATCCTCGGATCCCCCCTTTTTCTGTCAAAAAGACTGCGTTTCTAAGAAGATGTATACCTCTTCTAAGAGTCTAACGAGTGTTGCTCTGTATTCAATTAAATTATTTAAATCAACCAATACGATTAAATTATTTACCAAACAACCAATACGATTTATTTTTATGTGTACCAAATGAATTTTATTAATTTTAAACATTTGAATATGTATCTTTCTCTTTAAATTATTATTCATTAACAATGTATTTTATGTTAATTAATTTAGTATGTTTGTTTTACGATAATATGTATGTATCTCTTTAAATTATTATTCATTTAGAATGTTATTATGTTAATTAAGTTAGGATGTTTGTTTTATGATAATACGTATGTATCTCTTTAAATTATTATTGATTTAGAATGTTA